TAAAGATACACAGGCACCAAAATTACAAGCCCGTTGGTTTGGGTACATTGGCTTTGCTGGGACACCTGGAATAAGTGTTTGCAGAACAGAACACAGGGATTACTGTTCTTTCCACAGCCTTCTTCTCCTTTATAGATGTTAACCTTTGAAGTGGCATTTCCTATTATTGCACATTTTTTTATTAGATGAAAACGATTCTTGCCAGATTATCTAGGCAACTGCAGTTCTTCTTTTTTGGAAGAATTGTTACAAATATTAATGTGATGCCAGAAAGTTAAAATGCTAATTGATTAATATTCCACCCATTATGAGTCATGTTCTGTTCACTGTTTGTGACCATCAGTATAGAACAGTAAACCAAGCAAAAGAAGGATTTTAGTATCCTTATTCAGCCTGAACTGCAACCTGCTCAGCGAATTCTAGCCTCCAAGCACTTTTCCATATACAATTATTTCCCATAAATGTAAAAATGTATGTAAAGTGAAAGGAAATGAAAAGCTATTCCATTTTGCAGGCAAGGTGATTTTGAAATGTAAGTTAATGCATTTCTAAGTCCAGTAAGTGGCACCAGATATGTCAGCAGAAACATAAATACATATGTGTACACGTGTGCATATGCATGTGTGTGCAAAAAAATAACTATGTATGGCAGCTTCTGCTGACACAGAATTACAACTGCAAGGATGAATACTGCCCTGCTCCCATGGCCTAAGAAAATCCACTAGCAACAAGATAAGAAAGGTTTGATGATGGCAGTATAAGTATCTGGGAGAGTTCTTTCAAAGGCAACCTGTAGGTAATGCTATACTAAAGGATGGAGCTGGGGGATCTATTACCATGCACATTTCCCCATATTTCTTCCATTGCGTGTAGGGTGTCCCCAGAGATCACTTCAGCCTTTGTGCTGGAGGAGTTTGCAAGGCAGTTCTGGCATACAGGATTCTTCCCTAGGACTTGGTCTGGCCACTCAAGTTGCACTCAGGTCAGGATTTGGTCCTAAAAATACAAATGTGAATGAGATTTTGAATATTAACAAGAAATTCAGTCTTCTAGGCTTAAAATAAATGGAAACAAATCATCCTGGCCATTACAGCATTGCTGTCAATGGAATGGTGTAAGGGACAAATTAATGGAATATTTTAAAGACCAAATAGATAAGACTTAGTATTTTATCTCATTGCCTCAATTGTATGAGTGTGAGTTTTCCTATTAATTTTAAAATAAGCAGGCCAGTCACATAATCTGTATAATACACATGTGCATGCAAACACACAGTAAAGCTGTAAACATAGTATTCCTTTTTGACTGTGTCCTATAAAAATTCTCACTCATTTACACATATCCAGCATGATGAATGCAGAACGTGATGGTAGTAACCATGCTGGGCTAGACTGAGGAGTGATGTTTCATTTGATAAACTGTAGAACTATATGCAAAACTCATCATTCACTTTTGACATCTGACTTAATGTGGTGGTGGTGAGGAGGGTGCTTTGATTAGTAAACAGTGCTAATTAAAAGCACCAAAGCATCACATGTATCAGTGTCCCCATGCTGAAAAAATGGTGGTGGGGTGCTTTGAACTAAATCTTGTACAATGAGTTTTAATTCAAAATACCCCACTGCCATATTTCTTTGATACTAATACACACGAGGCTGCTGGAGCACCTTAATTTCTTTACTTTAGCAGACTCAATTAATGGAGTCTTCTCTGACATCCTGGATTTACACTGTAAATCCAGTGTGTTGAAGCAGCCTCCCTGCATGTGTGCAAGTGCCCTTTATCATTGATTTAAATTCCTGGGAGTTGTTCTGAGACTCTAGCCCCCTCACTTCTCTGAGCAGCTTCAAACATCTTTAAATGCACATATCAGGGAAATGAATGCACTAAATTAAACATGAAATGTTCATGCAGTAATTTCCTCCTTTTTCCATCTGCTAAATCCCATTATCACACAACTAAAAATAGATACATACTTTCTTAAATGTATGTTTCTAAGAAATCAAATGCAATAGCTGCCATGTGAATATGATGAGATTGCAAATTGGAAGAAAAGTGGTTTGCATGACTGAAGATGAAAATAAATATCCATGAGACAAGCTACATATTAACCCAAGGTGTTTTATATCACATCAGTCCATCATACACTCTTTCAATATATAAAGAATTACACAAATGTGGTTAAATATAAATCTATCATTATACACTACAGTCTTCCAGCAAGGAAAGTTTAGGCCAGATATTTGGTAAAATTTTCTCACTAGAAGGGTAATAAAGCACTGGAACAAGTTACCCAGAGAGGTTGTGAAATCTCCATCCTTGGAGATTTTTAAGACCCGACTAGACAAAGCCTTAGCTGGGATTATATAGTTGGGGATGGTCCTGCTTTGATCAGGGGGCTAATTTTCTATTATTCTATGATTATTGATATTTTACATGTCTGTCTATAGCTTTCCAAGACAGTGTGGAAGCAATCCCAAGTCAGACTTGTCAGCAAGATCTTGAATATATTTGAATTTGCCAGGTTATTTCATCAGGTAGAATTTAGAATATTTTTTAAAATTGCTACACTATTGGGGTGCAAGATATCAGGAGGATTTGACCCTTCTTTGTTTAAATATATATTTTATAATACATCTTCCCCACCATTCAACATAGGAAATTGGGAATGTCACAGCAAAATCTGAAATCAAAGAGAATTTTATCTGTGTTCTGATTACAGAAACTGCTCCTCAGGTTTTGCATAGTATAATCATTATTTCTTCTGTTAATGTTCTCCAGAATGTGAACTGAACACGTCACTAGTGTGGATGTAACATTGATCTTTTCCATTTCTTCTTAATCTTTAACAGATTGATAGAGCTCCTTCCCTTTGTTACCATCAACTACTACTGGGGAATTATAAGTAAGTGCCTCACCTACAGTAAGGCTGCATCAGATCCATTTGTTTACTCACTTTTACGTCAACAGTACAAGAAAGTCCTGATCAACATAGTCAACAGGATACTTAAAAGGGATCTATATCCTTCATCGGGCTACAACAGCTCTCTTGACACCGAAAATGATTACTGCTTACACAGAACAAACTAACAACTTGGCTATCCTTACTCTTCATGTGAAGACAGGTCTCTGCCACTCTAGGAATATCACCTGATCTTTTGCACACGGATCTGACAATGGTGACAATACCTTTGAGACATGAAAGTTGCATCACTACAATGCAGTGAAATGTGCAGGCTTTCCTAAAAGGCTCTTCCATTGTCTGCAGCTAGTGTAGACTACAGCATCACAGTAGCTGTCTGGGATGGGCAGAAAGGAGCCTACCTAGCCATTGCTTTGCTCACTGTACTGGTTGCTTGTTGGTAAGTGGAGTAAATCTGAGGTCTGTGGTTTAGCTCTCAAAGTCTCTAATATTCCAGGTCTCAAAGTCCTGATATCTTACTGGGCATCCAGCATCATCCTCTTAAAAGTTAGAGATAATGGGAGCACTGGAACTTAGAGCTTGGTGAGACAGGTAGAGCATCCATTGTGCTGTACATTTACTTCTGCAGCCCTGGATCTGTGGTACTAGTTTTAGAACATGTTAACTGAGTATCTTAACTGATGGTTTGCTGTTATAGTGCCCAGTATGGGCATTATGGGTAGGCATTTTGCAAATGAGATTGTTGTTATTTATTATTAGGCATTATGATTGTAACATAGCCTTTAAAAATGATATCTATATTCAATATGCCAATATTTTATCAAGCATAACCAAAGGCCACATATCTGATTTATTAATATTTAGCACTTTTGTGATAATACTTCATTACAGTAATTGCAGTGATATAATCAGAGTTTAATTAATATTGTATTTTACATCATTGAGCCAGTCCTACTCAACCAACCTTGCACTCAGAAAAAAATCAAGTCTTTAAACTGTAGAAATGACAGATGCCACTATATTTGAGATATATTGCTCAATAGCTATTTGGTTTTACAAACCAAGATTCAATATATTAATTCTTTTTAAAGGCAATGTAATAGGAAAAAATTGTTCATGTATCAGCTACATTACATGAGCTGCAACAATATTGTATTTCCGATTTACATGCTTAGAAATCTTCTTTTGTTCACCAAAATGCACTAGGGATATTGTAGCCAATCAACTGCCAAACCCCCATGTAATACACATCAGATGCATCTACACATGCAATTAAGGTGGAGCAATAAACTCCGATGCAGTTTGCACCCAAGCCAATTGCTCCCAGGCACAGCAATTGTGCCTGAGTGCACACGTGTGCCTGAGACTGCAGCACTTTGAGCCAGGGCAGAGCTGCCCCAGGCTGGCAGGGGGCCTGAGGGAGTAAGGTCTGGGCTCCAGGTGGTGATGTCAGGCAGTGGAGGGGCTGGCTGGGGCATAAGGATGCTACAGTATGAGGCTATGTGGCAGCCAGGCCCTGCACTTTAGTACCCTGGTGCCCCAGTCAGCCCTTGTCACCGTTTACATGTGTGTTTGGGTGCAACTAAGTAGTCAGCTGTAAGATCAGTACTCTGCCATCCCAAACAGTACTATCGTATGGCAAAGTTAATTAATTTACTGCACCCTAATACTGGCACATATGTAGATTGTCACACTTTACTGCACAACTAATTAGTCTACTCCACAGTAAAGTGCACATGTAGATGCACCCATCAAGGAGGAAAAGCAGCTCTGTTTCACTATTAGTTTTTCACTTCAATTTTTTTAAATCTAAAGAGTCTTTGGAGTCTAATTCCCTTGATTATGTATTATAAAAGACATGAAGAATCAATCTGCAGTGGAGCTCAATAAACCAATGTTTTATCATATAAACATTTAAATAAAAATGAGAGCAATTCTAAATGTGTTTTTAAGAATAAAATGACATTATAAAGTTCTTTTCTAAGTTACTGTGGCAATAAAGCTGGAAATATTTGCCTGATACTGCAAAGCACTTAATCATGAGATTAATTTTAAGAATGCACTTAAGTAAATGGGACTAGCAGTTAAATGTATGCTTAAGTATTTTGCAAGATCAGGCTCAGTGCGGAGTCTTTTGGAGGGTTGAACTATAATATACAATTAGACTAAATTAAAGGTCCTTACTGAAATCATATTTAAATCAATGAAAAGACTCATGCTGCAGAATGGACATGATGACATATTATCTCCTGCTTTCAAATGTTGAGGCCTTTCTAGTGCTTTATTGACACGCAAGTAAATTAGGCCTCTGTGTTTTGCATCTCTAGTTCTGCTTCTGTTAAAACTGAATGTACTATGTTTGTTGTCTTGTTAAAGTATTTGTACTCCCTCTAGTTTTCTGTAAATACAATCTTTCAGAAAAAAATATTTGTATATGAAATCTATTAAGTTCCCCCACACCTCACAGCTCTCCTACTAAAACCTGGTGTTCACATCTTTTATAGTAACTGCATTAGCAGTGTAACAGTTCAGCATCTCTTCTGGAGGAGGGATTGTGAATGTTCATTTGTTTTAGAGTCAGTCACTTCTGTGCCAAAAAGTTTTGATAAGCTATGACATTCATCACAACCATATTATCTCTAAACTTATGTGAGTTTCCTAATACCTGCAATGTTTAGCTGAACTATATAGGTTTTTAAAGAAAATGCTGCTCCCTTTGAGTAAATACATATCACATGATTATAAATGTTTTACAAAATGTGATCTCCAAAGCAATTTGAAGACTAATAAAATTTTTATTTGTGTTTATGGGCTTTTCTAAGTGTGAATAATAGAGGAGAAAAATAATGGATTGCAACTGTAGCAGAAAGCCACCTTGGTTTCTCCCCAAAAATCTCTGCCCTGTAACCATGTGTTCTAAATCTCTGCCCTGTGACACTGTGACCAAATCTCTGTGCTGTGACCATGCAATTAGGATGGGCCCAGCACACAGGGGACCACACCCTCAGCCTGTCTCTTTAGGGAACTTAAGCTGGCTGCATTCCTGAGGGAGGGGGGAAACCTGCTCCCTCTGCCTACATGACTGGTACCTGGGTGAGGGGCATCTACCTGGGGAGCTGGAATCTGCCC